ATGTAAGCAGAGTTAATACACCCTTTTGTGCGCTCTGGTATATATGTAAATACAAAAACCCATTTTTCCCCTCATCAACTAGTTGATTTCCATATAAAAACAAAGCAGGTTACAAATGTATCCGGGTATGCAAACTCGTAGGTGTCAACTCTGGAGGCTTATAGCTTCTCCAAAACTTATCCCCGAAAGATATAATATGTGCCAAAACACGCAAAATCAGGTTATATTAATAGATCCGAAGTTTTATTTTGACAAGTTGCATCCTAGGGTTAAAGAAATAAGTTTATAGATATATGTATCACCACATGTGTGCTAGACGAAAAAAGTTTAAGGGGGTAGTAGTTTGTAATTTTTTTTAAAGGGTTGTCAACTTTTTCGAAAGTCGAATTTATATACAGTGAAATATTAAAGGAAGGGGTGCTAAGAAATCTTAAGTTTGAATACTAAGAATATTTTTGAGCTATTAAAAGAGGGCTGCCACCCGTTCAAAAAGTTAAATTAAAATTATCAAATAAGTTAAATGAAATAAATAAAATGTTGGTATCGATCGAAATGGCTTTGAAAAGGCTTTAGGCTTTATCTATACATAGTATAAAGGAAAGTCGAGATTCTTTGTACGCGGTTATCTCGAAATCTACTGAACGGATTTTCACGAGATTTTCTCTAATATACTCTGTATCGACATGAGAGGGATATTTTTTTACTTAGAATTTTAATAGCGTTGCCACACCTATCTAAAAAACTATAAGATCCGCACCGTTCGTTGGATTACAAAAAATGAGGTGTCAAATGAAATCGAATGGCCTCTGGAAAAGCACGAATGTCTTAGTTTTTGAATAGGGTTGCCACCTTTTACGAAAATTACTACATTCAATCATTATAAGCGTAGGCATCAGTTCTGCACCATAGCTGTCAAATGAAAAGACTTAGCCTCTAGGTGTGTAACAATGTATTATTTTTATTAGTAGAGTTGCCACCTGTTTAAAACTATAGGATCTTCACCGCTCGTTGGATAAAAAAATGAGATACCAAAATGAAAGTGCATGGTCTTCGCATGTGCAAATAGCATTATTTTTTTTGAGTAGGGTTGCCACCTATTTAAAAATAACCAAATATTTATTAATTAGGTACATAAGATGTTCCCAGTTCATTCAATTAAAATAAAAACAAGTGAAAGGATATGATATTCAGATGTGCAATGCTTTAATTTTTCATTAAAAAAAAATAGTTCTCAAAGGAAGGGCTTGGCGTTCAGATGTGTAATAAGGTTTTATATTTTCGAAGAGGGTTGCCACCTGTACGAAAAATTATAATACGTGGGCTGTTCGTTGGACCAAATAGTGAGTCATTAAATGAGAGGACTTGACCTCCAGATCTGCAATAAGGTTTTATTTTTTTGAACTGAGTTGCCGGCTGTCTAAAAAATTTGAAGATCCACACCCTTCGTTGCATTAAAAACACAAGATGTGAAATGAAAGGGCTTGGCCATTAGGTGTGCAATAAGGCTTTATTTTTTAATAGGGTTGCCACCTGCTTACTTATGTACACATTCAGCGCGTGGCGAAGCCTCGCGCATACGAGGCCGGCTAGTTGAATTATAAATAAAATAAAAATAAATGTAAAGGATTGACATAAAGCAGTCGCCTGACAATGTGGCTAAATACTACTTTTGTTCTGTCCAGTTTTAATTATATTGCATTATTAAACATTTTCTATATTATAAAGTATGGTTTAAAAACTTCGCTAAATTCCTCCACTTCCATCATTACCATTTAGCATGCTTATTACCTCGGCATCCGTAAGAGTTGGTTTACCATAGAACGGGATTCGAAATTCTTTAAACATCGGGCAAGCTCTTAAACAGTGGAACAGTGCTTCTTCCCAAGATAAGCCCATTTCACTAGCTAAATTTTGCATACTGTTAACGTAGAACAAATTTTTACGAGGCAAGATCTCCGTTAGCTCTTTTTGGGAGCCTATCTTCTCCGTAATGAAATAGAATTCTGCCAATATAGTTAAGGTGCAGCTGAAGCGTCTCAGCTCTCGTTTCCAGCATTAATGCGTATGTTGGTGTGCAGTCAGGCAAATATAAATTTTTTTTAAGAAGTATTGTTGAAGATTTAAGAAGGTTCAAGCTTGAAAATATTTGATTGACCAGGGTTGACACCTATTTGAAAAGTCGAATTATATAAAAACTTATACACAAGTTATAAGAAATATTAAAATACAGTTGCCAAAGGAAAGAGTGTTAAGAAATCTGTATTTTTAACATTTGGAATATTTGAAGAGGGTTTCAAAGTGTTTAAAAAGTTACATTAAAATTATTTAATTAGATAGGTGAATTACACTGGTTTACAGCGAAAATGTTCTATGGATGCCACTATCCAATTCCTATGTAAAATTGCTCAGTGATTCCGAAAATCGAGTTATTTTTTTTCTATGGATACGTTTTCGAGATATTTGCAATTTACCGTTATTCAGCTTAAAGCAAAAATTAGTTCCTTTTCTTCACGTATATCTTAAGAACCAATTTAAAAATCTTAATATAAAATACGGCAAATGGAAGCCAATGAAATTCTCCATTAACCGTATATACCACATTCTTTTCGATAGGGCTTATAGTTTCTGACAAATTAGTTATTTAGTCATTCCAGCTTTTTTATTTTTTAATGAAAGAAGGAAACAAAATTTAACTTTAACAGAAGAAAAATTAAAAAAAAACAGGCTCTGTGCCAAATTTTTGCATTTGTACTAAAGCCTGTTCTGTTCAAAAAAAAAATTAATACTTTATCCATCGATTTTCTTCATCAGTAACTTGATTTTTTTTTTTGCAACAGAACAGGCTTTATAGTACAAATGCAAAAATTTGGCACAGAACCTGTTAGTTTTTAAATTTTTCTTCTGTTAAAGCTTGATTTTTTTCATTTTTTTTTCACACAAAAATAAAAAAAATGTGGATGATAATTAATTTGTCAGAAACTATAAGCCCCAGCGGAAAGTGATGTATATACGGTTTATGGAGAATTTCATTGGCCTTCATTTACCGTTTTTTTTCTATTAAGATTTTTAAATTGGTTCGTAAGATATACGTGATTAAAAGGAACAAATTTTTGCTTTAAGCTGAATAACGGTAAATTGCAAATATCTCGAAAACGTATCCATAGGAAAAAAATTAACTCGTTTTTCGAAATCACCAAGCAATTCCACATAGGAATTGGCTAGTGGCGTCTGGAGAACAAAAACCAAATTAAAATTGTGATCCAGTACTATTAAAAGATGAATATCATTCGAAATGGGTTTGAGAAGGCTTTATTGCTGACCTTTATTTAGAAGGCTTGCCACGTGTTCGAAAAATCAAGTTCAACTTAATTAATCAGTTAATTGAATTATGTATGTATTAAAATGCTAGACGAAAGAGATTTAAGAAGATTCTAGTTTAAAAATACTTTTGAAAAAGATTTCGACCGGTTTGGAAAGTAAAATTTTGTTAACTTATACACATGCTTTATGAAATATTAACATATGAGTGTCAATCGAAAGAGATTTATGGAAGGTTTAGTTTGAAAATATCTTTGATTAGGTTTGCCACCTTTTCGAAAAGTCATATCGATTTAACTATGTATTTTTTGTGAAGGACCTTAGGTTTGCACCGTTCTTTCGAAGTTCGAATATGATAGGTCAAACTTAAGAGCTTGGCCTGTAGATGTGCGATAACGTTTTTTTTTTTTTTTTTTTTAAATTAGAGCTTTTTTTTTATCGGTACAGGGTGATTTGAAATTTGATGAAACTAAAAACCGGATTTAGATGAAATATCGTACTCGGATTGCTAATAACCCTAATAAACATTTGGAATAGTTTTTAGATTTTGAAATTTAATTTTCGGCGTTTTGGCGCCATGCCGGTTAACTAGTTTGTTTACTATTTTTGGAAAATCTGGAATGGTTTTATGACTTTTCAGCTTAAGAGTCACCTTTCTTGACACAAGAAATAATGTTATCGCAGAACTTATTCACTCCCTAAGAACTATTATAATGTGATTTGAGAGGTCTTCAGAAGTAAATAAACGAATTGTTTCGCGATACTTATAGTCGGAGGGAAAAAAACGTTAAAATATAATGTTTCTGCTTGGTACGAAAATGAGTCATATATATCTTTGGGTTAAATGCCCATGTTTCTTTGTTTGAATGACATTTTATACACCTATTTAACGGTAACGAATAGTGGTATAAGAGAGGATATGAATCATGATTCGATTAAACGAATAAGTAAATTGTTTTTTATTTGTCTTTTCACAATCTCCATACGGCACTGGCTAATTTTTGCACTATGATGTAACTATACGAATGTTCCAACAAATTAAAAGGTGAAATAAATGTTTCGCTATAAATCTGTAACTAACTGGTAGATGTAGCACTAAAACTTTCAAACAATTTTTTACTCAAATACTTATGCGGTATCCCGCCAACACATTGAAAACAATGCAAATATATAGGTTAACTTTAGTATAATACGTATACCATTTGCAACGTGTGATTGCGTATGACGCTGTAGCCATTGGAAGGTCTTGGCAAATAAACGTGATATAAATAAATCGGATGGCAGCCTCTAGTCCAGATTCCCATCAACTCACATCAAAAAAAATACTTGCATAAATGATAAACGGCAAGGTGCATTATATTGCAGCCAACAATGCGGTGTAATAATTTATTCGTCGTAGGTCATGCATCACGCACAAATAAATCAAAAGATGCCGCTGTCTAATTTATTTGTGTTATAATTTTGCATGTTTTCTTATTAAATAAACAATTTCTTTTACACGTTTTTTATTTTGCTGGAAGCAACTTGAATTTTTTCGCAAATGACCGTTGATTTTTGCATGCGTTCTTCACGTCAACATATTTTTATAATAAACTATCCATATATGTATATAGAAAGTGATACTCTAAATTCAATATTTCTTTGATATGTAATACTAATGACAAAAAATCTCTTTTCCACAGGATATGATACTTTACCAATAGATTCAATGCAAGGCCTGGAGATAAACAGCCCAGGTGGAGGTGGTGGCGGCAGCGGCGGTAACAGTGTACCACCAAGTGGCGCACCAACGTCGCCATATTCTATGGATATGGATGTAGGTGAGATTGATGCTGGGGCCTTGAACTTTGACTTGGATGCAATGCCGACACCGCCGAATGATAACAACAACTTGGCCGCTTGGTATGACACCGACTGTTAGACTGAGTAGTAGGTGGCGGAGAAAAATAAAACAATAAATAGAAATAAACAAAATCTTTCTCCAACAATGCGCATTTTCAACAGCAAAAAAAATCAAATATTTTGTGTTTTTGTTCGATCATGATTTTAATTCTTTATTTACGATAGTATTAAGCCTTTGCTTCCATTCGAAGTGTAACGTACATTTTTTCTTTTACTTGCACTATTTACATTTTATAAATATAAACATGCAATTTTTTATTAAACACACATATTTTTCTTCAACGAAAATGATTCAAATTGATGTAGCAATTTTTAATATATGTATGTATGTAGAGCCATGCAGTTAAGAAAAAAAGAACGCATTTAAAAAATCCGATTACAAAACGAACTCATTCAAATTTCCCTGATTAAATGCAACTAGCAAGAAGAGCATCAAAAACAGATGAGTATTAAAAAAAATTTTAGAATACACAAAAAATATTGCACTTAAATATATACAAAATAAATAACATGTTCAAATATAAACATTACAAAACTGGTTAAAAATGCAATATATTCGTATTACGCCTAATCAACCACAGGCATTTTGGTGTCAGAAATGAAGTTAATTTAAATGTATTGTCATTTCTGCAAATAACACACAAATTCGACATGCATTTTGAAAATAAAATAAAAAATAATAATAATTGTCTTACAAATTAAACATACTTACATACATATGTACGTTTGCCTTCTTCGTGCGTGGTATTTTTTTCGTGCAAACATATAAATCATTATTATGTAATAGCTGCATCATAAAGGGCGATTTGAATAAATATGTGACACTTTTCACATTTTATTTAATAGTTGTTTATATCATTCACTTAAAAACACAGGCAATGGAACACGTGAGTATGTAATTACATATGTACTAGCTAAAAGCTAAATTTCGATGGAATCAATGAAAAAAGGCATAGAATGTTTTAACATACATAATTACTAAGGCTGACACAACTACCGAAATATAAAAATAACCGCATAGATAAGATGAGATTTTTAAAGGCCTTTTGATCTCGGAAATTATTTTCGTGTCGAAGATTGAATGCAGCATTTCTTCGCTAAAATGACAATATCCGTTTTTAGAAATTTGTCTTATTTCGATTCTGAATCAGAGAAATTGGCCTTCTGGTTTCAGAGGAAAAGGTCTTATACGGCTTTCCCACGGCACCCCAATTACGTAGTACGCTCTCTCATTCGTAATTCGCACTCCAATTATCCTTCAAATTACGTAATTCGCCGTACAAAATTTTGAGAGCGAATTACCTAACTTGTTGGTAATTCAGTTCCAAATACCATAAGAATTACGAACAAATCGGTACCGTCTCTAGTTTTTAGCGGAAATTTATCGAAACTTGCTCACAAATCAAAACTTCCATATTTTCTGAGTACGAAAAGTAAAGTTTATCAATGTGTATATCCCTAATTTTATACGGATACACAGAGCTGCCAAATCGAATTCAGAATGTGCCCCCGTGGGAATGTGGTAATTCGCGATGGTATTTGGGGGAGCGAACAAAGTTATTCAGGAAGCCGTGGGAAAATGGTATTAAAATCGCTAAAAATCGTTAAGTATATGTACTGCGTTGAATAAAATAGGCGGGCATACTTTTACCATATTGAACTACGGAAATATTCAAATTGAATTTTTTGTATCATATTAGTTCTGCATTAAATGTCAGAAAACAATGAAGCTGATGCCAGATATAACTTTGCCAGCAAAGCGCCATACGCAAAAGGTATGACACAATGAACGTCAAGAAAACAATTTTGTACTGCTCAGCAATGCAATTTAATTTCGTGTTTCTGCATGAAAACTCGAATTCGGACGAAACAAAATAAATATTAAACCGACCGATTGTCAACGCGTGCAAAAAGATGGGAGTTGGCCATATTTTTGCTTCGCGCTGCAGCTGCAACGATCTATGTGGCATGCTTTGTGCATTTTCATATAATTCATCATGTCTGTAAAAGCGAATCTGTCACGCAAAGCGAAGCAGGCGTTTTATCTGACATCAGCTTAACAGGCTAACCTAATATTCACGCACGCCGCCAATTTATTGTCAAAAATTTCTCATGCACATGCAACTTGTATTGAGATCAACCGAAATTGAACGGCGTGCGTATGAAGCTAACTCAATTTCCAATTTTTGTTCTGCGTGACATTTTGATTTGACGTTTCGCTCAATGAAATCAAATGCAAACGCATGCAAGTCAATTTCGGGTGACGCAAAAAAACAAATTCGACGGCATGCGTACCAAAACGCAAGCCGCGAATATTAGGTTAGCCTGTTAGTGTCATTTCGTGTTAAAGTTATTAAACAGTTCAAAGTCGACCGACGTGTTGCTCGAAAGAAAGGCTCGGCAAAATATAGGGGGCTTACATAATCGCAAAAATGCAGAGGGAATTGTGACCACGCTAACGAAGAATTCGAGCATTTCAGGAAGGAAATTGGCAAGTAATCCGGTGTTCACATGAGGCGATTTTACAGGCAACTTTTAGTTGAAAGCAACAATCGCATGGTATGAACGGACTTTCAATTAATCGCTTCCAATGAAGATGGGGTACAGCCAACTTTTGATTCAACTAATCGCCTGGAATATCGCCTCGTTTGAAGACCGTATAAGGTTAACTTATGCTGGATTTACATGAGGCGATTTTCTAGGCGATTCAACATTGCTCTGGAAAACTCGCCCGTGTAAATGGTGATTAAAAAATCGCTTGCATCAAAGTAGAGAGCAAGTCAGCTTTAGAATCATTTTTGCGTAGAACTAAAATAATAAGAGGGAGGTCCCCACTACGATGGAAAGACCAACTGGAGAAGGACAGAAGAAAAATGATTGGCGTGCTTTGTAGAACTCCGCCAAAATCGGGGGAAAGTTTCCCAATACGGAACCACGCTTTAAAAAAAATAATAATAAAAATGAGGGGGGGGAGGGGGCAGAGGAGATTTATTATATGCATTCAACATACATACAAGGAGTAAAAGTGTACACCGTGATACCGGAATAGTTTAACAACAAATTACTTAGAGCGGTATTATCACTTGAGAAGCGAGTGAATTGTGCTACGCGATTTTAATGCCAAGGTAGGTAAGGAAGGGATCTTTGGTGCCACTGTGGGAAAATTCAGCCTAGACCACCAAACGTCCGATAACGGACTGAGGTTGATTGACTTCGCCGGGGCCCGAAGCATGGTAATATGTAGTACTAGGTTCCAGCATAAGAAGATCCACCAAGCTACATGGCTGTCTCCAGATCGAAATACTAGAAACCAAATCGATCATGTTGTGATAGACGGAAGGCAACCTTCCAGCGTTTTAGACGTACGCACACTCCGAGGACCAACCATCGACTCTGACCACTATCTTGTTATAGCCAAGATACGCACCCGCCTCTGTGCAGAAAAAAATGTGCGCCCAGCAATGCAAGGTAAGCTTAACGTCGAAAAGCCGCAATCACAACAAACTGCCAATTTGTTCGCCACTCGGCTCACACACCTGCTCTCTGAGAGCACTCTTCAACAATCTGACATACGCGAACCAGATGTCCTGATCATTAAGTACCGTCCCCAAAGAAGTAGGTGGATTTCAGCGAGCCCGAAAGAATAACTGGTATTATGAGGAATGTCAAGAAGTCACAGAGAAAAAAGACGCCGCGATCGGGAGCAACGCGAGCCATGTGGGGCCGTTATGGGGAACTGAAGAAGGAAGCGAGACATATTTGCCGCAATAAGAAGAGAGAGGCCGAAAAACGTGAGTGCGAAGAGCTTGAGATGCAGGAAAAACGCCCGAAAATTTTATGTTAGGCGACTTACGGAAGGTTTCAGGACCAGGGCGAACTCCTGTAAGAACAACCATGGTGACCTAGAGACTGATGTCCAGAACGTACTAAAATTGTTGAGGGAACACTTTTCCACCCTACTGAATGGTAGCAGCACTGAAAGTAGTGAAGAAGACGAACCCGAGCACCCAGTCGATGACGATGGAGTCGATGTCCCACCGCCTGACTATGACGAGGTGCGAATAGCGATTATGCGGCTGAAAAACAACAAAGCGGCTGGAGCTGACGGCCTGCCAGCCGAGCTATTCAAGTACGGCGGCGAGGAGCTGATGTGGTGCATGCATCAGCTCTTATACAGAATACGGTCAGATGAAAGCATGCCCGAGGACTGGAATTTAAATGAGCTCTGCCTAATCCTCAAGAAAGGTGACCCCGCCATTCGCGCCAACTACCGCGGGATCAGCCTTCTAAGCATAGGTTATAAGGTCTTGTCGAGTGTATTGTGTGAAAGACAAAGCCCACCGTCAACGAACTGATTGGACCTTATCAGTGCGGCTTTAGGCCTGACAAATCCATCATAGACCAGATATTCACAATACGCCAAATCTTGGAAAAGACCCGCGAGAATAGGATCGACACACACCATCTATTTGTCGATTTCAAAGCCGCTTTCGACAGCACGAAGAGAAGTTGTCTTTACGACGCGATGTCTTAATTTGGTATCCCCGCGAAACTAATACGGCTGTGTAAGATAACGTTGAGCAATACCATCAGCTCTGTCAGAATTGGGAAGGACCTCTCCGAGCCATTTGATACCAAACGAGGTTTCAGACACGGTGACTCCCTTTCGTGTGATTTCTTTAATCTGATGTTGGAGAAGATAATAAGAGCCGCAGAACTGCACCGCTCAAGCGCAATACTTTACAAGAGCGTACAATTGCTGGCGTGTTCCGACGACATCGATATTATCGGCAAAAACAAGGGCTACGTCTGTTCTGTCTTCTGAGGATTAGATAGAGAAGCAAAGCGAATGGGTCTGGTGGTGAACGAGGACAAAACGAGGTATCTCGTGTCATCACACAAACAGTCAGAGCATACGCGTCTTGGCACACACGTCACTGTTGGCAGTTACAAGTTTGAAAAAGAAGACGACTTCGTTTATTTGGGAGCCAGCATTAATACCAATAATAATGTCAGCCTTGAAATCCAATGGAGAATCACTCTTGCCAACAAGTGCTACTTTGGACTGAGTAGGCAATTGAGAAGTAAAGTCCTCTCTCGTCGTACAAAGATCAAACTATAAGTCACACATCCGATGAAGCGGCTCTTGGAGTTTTCGAGAGAAAGATTCTGTGAAACGGACGTTTACGCGTTGGCGATGGCGAATACCGCAGACGATTTGACGATGAGCTGTAATAGCTTTACAACGATATATAGCATTGACACATTAAGTTAAACTTTTGGCAAATAAAATTAATCTTTTGGCAAATAAATTTAATCTTTTGGTAAATAAATTTAATCTTTTGACAAATAAAATTAATCTTTTGGCCAATAAATTTAATCCTTTGGCAAAAAAATTAAACCTTTTGGCAAATAAAATTAATCTTTTGGCAAATAAAATTTAACTCTACTATAGTACTAAAC